GAACGCAAGATATATTGCTATTGTTGCGTCGCAAAAAAGACGCCCTTTTTATTCGACCATTTCTTAGAGTGAAGAAATCCGTCTAAACAATCGCCTGTAAGCCCAAGATGGCGACGCCCATGAATCGAAGATAAGAAAGAGAGAGACAGGAAAGACCTGGAGGTTAACCAGATATTGGCATCTGGTTTGCTACCCAGCGCTGGGGGCGGGGAAATAGGGGCAAAAAAGAGGGGTAGATAGAGAAAAAAAACACGCGCACTCATGTGAAAACGAAAACACACACAGGAAGGGCGTCCTAGCTACAACCGTTCAGTAAGGCCGGTCGATCGCAAAAAGTGTAGTAGCGCATTCAGGGCCTTCTTCTGTGAAGTTGCATCTTGTCGATATTGTAGAATTCCTTGCTCCCACAGAGGTTGATTATCTGATTTGCTGAGTTCCTTGCGAAGTCATAGTCGTTGTTTACTATACTCTAGGCAGCCACAAAGAATATGTTGGATCGTTTCTTCTTTGCCACAGTGGCCACAGGCTGCGGTAATCGAAGATAAAATCGTGTATACGTGGATGAGCCACAGATAATTCTAGGAACTCGGTTGTTTTGTTGTTTCCACGTTGTTGCTTGTGAGGACACTGTTCTGCCGCGCCCCTAAAGTGCTTCGTTTATCCATAATATTCGTAGCGATGGGTTGTCTGCTTTGCTTTGTGCTGTATGTTGGTCGAAATTCCCGTGACATCTGAAAAAAAAAATATTTGTAGCGCAAAGCGATACGCCGACGGGAAAAGAGCACGGGACTGGCGCTTTCAATCCAATCCAATCAATCAATCAATCAGAATTTCGATTGATACAAATACGGGAATGTTACATATGTTTAGTATACATAGCATGGTCCCAAAGTCGAAGTCTGTATTGGTACCTCCTGTTAAAGGCACCTTATGGTAATACGTAGCGTTCGTAGCAACAGTAGCACTGTTCATAAGTATATGAATTAGACTAAACACGTTGCTTCAGAAGAGTAAAGAAATATACCTAATGAAAACAAAATATACACTATGAAACGCGCTATGAATAATGCTAAGTAAAACTGAAAAAAAAAGAATACAAAGACTTATAATGCATAAAATGTACAAATTGAAACAAAATGAAGCTTTGTCCATGTATCGCTTCACGCTGCAATTATTCCCCCTTCAGGAGTCATAAACCAACTATAGCCCCCCAAAATGGTCAGTCAGGTTATGTCTCACAGAAAAAACGAGCCCACCATCGGTCCTCCCCCCCCCCTTTTTTTTTGTGTACTTGTATTGTAATAGCGTTATCGGCATTCGGCAATGAGATGGTTAAATGACCCAATCATCGGCAAAATGTCTTCGCAGGTTGTAATGCCGCTCGCACGCAGCAAGACCCGAATTCGTTTGAGTAATATAGCGTAAGTGCTCATGCAAATAGTTTCGTTGGGCAGATTATCTAGCCAACTGAGCGCCTCATTCGGCGCACGCGTTCTCACGATGATTACCAACTGTTATTTATTTGTTTATTATTTTCTACTGGTTGCATTAGGTCCTGCTCGAGTCGTCCGAGAGATGATGACTCGGCCTTCAAGTCCAGCGCTTACGCTGTGAAAAATAAGCGAAATGATAGCGCCTCCGTAAATTCCCGGACGTGATTCTCTCTCCTCCTTGACGAAACAAAGAAAACACAAAAGTGAAAGAGCCTACGAAAGGGAGGACAATGCAAAGCGGCAGAGTGCGCCAGTGTGACACGGTGGAAAGTTGAGTGGAAAGAGTAACGACATGGGTGAGGAGGTGATGGTGTGCCGTGGCGCCACCTCACGCCTCGTTCAGTCACTTGGCAAGGCTATCTCGCCCAGCGCGGCCTCTTTGATCGCTTCCACGGATTCCGATGGCAACGGAGGCCATGGTTCGCGTGCCCACTCCAGCAGTGAGCGATTCCGACATGGAAAGCGTTCGTCAGAGTCTTGATTTCGTTTGCTAGAGTAATCCGTCGCTTAGCGGAGTCGACGCTGACACTACTGAAATGGCGCATCGTAGAGCGCGAAGACACAAGCATTGTGAAGAAGTGTCGTTGAAGTTGGCTCCTCTTTGCAATTTATCGCGACAAGTTGAAGTTTGTGCGAACGTATCCGAACGTAGTGGGTTGAGATCCCACTGACGAATTGGGTTTTTTTAAATGCATTTCTTAGCGAACTTCGGTGACTTTGAGCGTATCAATTTATCTATCTATCTAGCCGCCTACGACTTTTAGCTCTCCTGGCCGTTTCTCTTTCCCCTCTCTCTCATATTTATGCCCCCTTCCCATTCCTCCAACGTAGGGTAGCAAGCCGAGAATGTGCGTGGTTAACCTCCCTGCTTTCTCTCTTGTTGTTCTTTTCCTCCTCCTCCTGGCTGTTTCGATAATGGTGTCGATACCAAACTTGGTATGGCGTAACATGGCTGCATGAAGAACATATTTGACTAGTCATAACATGAAAGCAATGACATGTATGTCATGAATGTCATGAATTACATTTCATGGTCCTGCAGCTCTTGCGGTGGTTTTGTTCAGATGGCATGTTGCAAAACTGGTACAGTATGTCATGATTGCATGGCGAACACAAGCGACAGACCGTAACATGAAAATGATTACACGCGTGGCATGTAACAACATGGCTACATGCGACGCTGATGATGCGCTGGTTTCCGTTTCTCTAGCTTCACTTATACAAAATTTTGGTATCGCGGGGCTTGAATGGATGACGAAGGTATGATACTGGTGCTAACATAATAAACATGAGATGCGTGTCATGTGACAACATGACTGCACGCTACGCTCACGATGTGCTCGCGGCCACTTTGCTAGCTTCACATGTACCAAATTTGGTGTTACATGACGTCAATGGATGACGAAAGTATATGACTAGTGCAAACACGATCATGCTGACAAGCGTGTCATTTGAGGAAATGACAACATGCCAAGCTCATAGCCTGCTCGAGGCCGTTTGGCTAGCTCCACATGTACTAAATTTGGTATCACGTGGCGTGAATAGATGAAGGCAAACGACGCATCCAAACATGATAAAATGATGACATGGAAGTCATGTACGGCACCATTAACCCCCACCTGGTAACGTTGTGCTGATTTTAAAGTGACATATCAACCTTTCTCGTTCGTGCTTCGCGTATCACTGATTCCCATTGTACATGGTATCTGCCAAATTTTTTTAGGGGCGAAGCTCCTTACAGCGGCACCTGTTCGTCCCTCGTAGCCGTTGTAGTGTGTAACAAGTATAACATTTTGACCTCCAAGGTGTTGCCAGTGAGAGATTACTTCTGTGCGTTGTTGAACAATAAAAGATAGTGCTCAATGTACGTGCCAATGGCTGCTAATGAAGAATGCGAGACAGGAGCATTCGGCTTTTAGTTAACGCGCACGCTGCGATCCCCTTTAGCAGCCATTGGCATGTACATTGAGCACTAACTGAAAAGAAAGGGTTGCTACGTTATACTCGCTCCATGGGTGTAACCTCCTTAGTTTTAGAAAGGTTTGGAGAGCGTTGGGTCGCAGTGCCATGAATACAGTGAACTAGTATATACCATGAACTCGAGGTGGTTAAAGGTGGGAAGTAGACACGAAGCGCAAGCCGTAAGTGTGCGTGTGCCTCCTCTCGTTCAGTCCTTGGAATGTCCGCTGGATGGCGGTGCTTCTATATGGGAAATATATGATGAAAAGATGCGGGATGGCGGTACTTGGAGTGTTGAATAGGCTGACGAACGAACACACAGACAGATGCACGGACGGACGCACGGATGGCTGCACGGACGGATGGACGCATGGACGGACGCAGGAGCGGATGCATGGACGAAAGCAGGTACGGACGCACATATGAACGTGCGGACGCACGAACAGACGCACGCACGGACGGGCGGATGGACGCACGGGTGGCCACACAGACGCACGCATGGATGGACGGAAGCAAGAATGAATGGACGGACGGATGCTTCGCCCCACTCTCAGTCATTCACTACGTGGATATGCTGCCATTTTTTTTCTCTCAAAAGTATGTGTTATCTTTTTTGTACAAATAACAGTAGATTATTAAACACTTATTGTTTCGTCGTCTGTCCCAGAGGTCCGTCCCCAACGCACCCCTGGTTTTGTTGTCAAGTCGAGTGATCCGAGAGAGACGGTGCGTCTACTTAGCTTCGTCATCGATTTGCAGTCGATTTGAAATGATTTTAGGCAAGACGCGCTCGTGAAAAACACGACCTCGAGGCAATGTCTTGCACTGGCATGAGACAGTACATCTATGCGCAGCGGCGAGTGGACGACGCTTCATTGAAACTGTCAAAACGACTCCTAAAGCTCTAACGTCGCAGCAAATTAGGAAATCTAGTGGTCGTCAGCCTCTTCGACCAACAAAGACAGTGCTTCAGCCTCTTTCACCGCACCCCACTACCCGCGCTGCGCGAAGAACGAAACTGAAACTGTAGAAAAAAAGTCTGTAAACAGTTCGCTAGCCAACCCTATCCAATCCAAAGCCTGTACATTCTATAATTCTCATGAAGGTACACAAATGCAGCGCCAGATTCCTCTCTTGTTAATAATGTACGAAACTGTATAATTTTAAACAGGGTGTTCAAGGTCGGCATTTCTTCAATTTCAACTTCGACTGCGATACAACGGTTCTCTTCAACAGGAGCGCAAGCTCTACCGTCATCCAAACGGGCCAACAACCAACCTTTCCCCTCGTACTCTTTCTTTTTCCTAAAAAAAAAAAAGAAACCTCCCTTGTCGGGCGACCGTCGTCGAACGCACAGAGTGCCAACGGAGCAAGGTCGTTGGCTCCTCTCTCTTTCCCCGACTCCGCCACTCTTAACTCGCTCTCCGCTCTGTTTCTTCTCGCTTGCCCTTTCTCATCTCTCTCTTTAACCTCCTTTCTCGTTCGGGAAAAGACTGCTCGGCCGCCGCTCGCTACACCGGCGGCGTTCAGTCAGTGCAAAGGCGGCTGCCTGCGCGTGTGTTGTAGCGGCGGCAGTTGGATTTAGTGCCTACGTGCGTGCGTCTTCTTCTACTTACGTCGGCGGCGCTTCGCCGCGTGTACCGTCGTGTCGCGCGCTGGAAACGGCAGCAGCTGGTCCAGGCGAGCGTGATGCGTGGCATCCCTGCGTCTCCTCCGCTCGTCAACGACTTCTTCGGCGCGTCTTCGTCGTCGTGTTCAACGCACGACGCCAGTGATCTTCTCTCGTCGCACGGTCGACCGGATACTACTACTTCCGCGGGACCTTTCTACTTCCGGCGTTGAAAAAAAAAAAAAAGGCGGAACTACAGGAAAGGAACGACACCATCCGTGTGTGTGTGTTAATTTTTTTTTTCCGGTGTGTCAGTGTTGGCGTGGGTGTTCTTTTCACGTCACAAATCGACGGTTACCCCCTTTTTGTTGTTGTTGTTCTTTTGCGCCCCGACGTTTACAACTAGCCGAGTTCTGGGAAAGAAACAGAACTTGACTCAGACATCATCAAGTCTGTGGATATCGATTCGTGACGGATAACAGTGCGGTGTTTCCCCACCGACTACGGCCGTGAAACCTCTTCCTAATTTTATGATGGATTGACGGTTTGGACGAAGGCAACATTGGTGGAACAAGTAGTTCGGGGACGTTCTCCTTAACTGTTTTGTTCTTTGGCGTCCGTGCCGTGGGTTTGGAGATAAAACTGTTGCTGGAATTTTCTGGACATTCGAGTCGGCGAGAAAACGTAACCGTCGTTGTTTGGTTGTGAGTTGTTGACGACTGGCAGTGGCGACGTCCGTCCTTCTTCGACGGGACTTTTGTTAATTGTTATTTTTCCAAAATCCTGCTCGTGATACTAGGTGCGCCACTAAAAGAGGAATGCGCTTCGAAGAGGCATCGCCGTGGAGTGACAAGTGTCGCACCGCGTCCTACGTCCTGCGAAAGGAGCCCGGTGAGTATTCCTTCAAACGTGTCCTATTATCCTTATTCTCTCTAGGAGTTTTGTCATTTTTATTTTCACGTTCCAGTTTCGAAGATTGGGTGCGCTCGTTTTGTATTTATTGGTATTGCTCTTTTTTTTTTTTACCGCTGCGACATGAGTGTTTCCTGGGCGACCGACCGGGACATTAGCGCGAGGAGCAAGTTTAAATCATACTGCCCGTGTAATTACAGATAAACGAAGGACGTGGGGAGAACGTTTTGCTATCGGCGTTCCTCCGTCACTTTAGCGCTCCTAATTTGAATTAATTTTTTTTTTCAACTCCTCTACATTTGTGAGCCGGACTTGCAAATCATCAGCGTCACTTGCCTTCGCTTCGTAACGTTCGCAGTGTGATGCGAACACACGACTTTTTTTTTTTTTTTTTCGTTATGACGCCGTTCAACGCGTTTGATACTGATGCTGGTCCGATGAAAGATCTTTTTATAGATGCCACGACTCAATCATGGCGTTTGACGTTAGCTTTTTTTTTTCCCTCCACCTGTAGCGCGTGTGTCTGTTACGCATTGACAGCGAAAATGCCAGTTGTTGCTAACGGCTTGTCAGTCATTACTGTATATAAGTGTGGCACCTGTTAAGTGTAGTAAATGAGTAAACAAAAATAAAAAGTAAAATACACTCGTGGTGTAGTTCGCTCGTGCACCTTGCGCAAGCGAGAATGCTAGGCGCGCGCGTTTCAGCTTTTTCTTTATTTTTTTTTTTTTTTTGCTTTTCTTCCAACCAACGCGGTCAGGCAACCTGGTTGTTTACGTCTGCGATTCCGAGAAAAGACGGAGAGGGGTTTTTCGCTGTCGGTGGCTTCTTCCGTTTATGCACACTGTGGTGTTCAAAGCCAACACGATTGACCTACGCTGTGCAAAAAAACAAAGAAAACGACGTTCTTAGTGTATATTTTCTTTTTCGCGGTTTTGTTTACAGTATCGTACCGTCTTAGTTTCTATTGTTCGGTGTTTAGTTTTCGATTTTTGCGACTGCGTTAGGTTTGAAAACCGGATGTGACTGAGTGTTGGTGTTGAAGAAACAAAAGAAATAACGAAGCGCGTTTTGTTGGCATTTTGACCTAACCGTGTCTTGTTTTGGCTTTAGCAGGTTTTGACATGCGAACGTAAATGTAACAATAACTTTGTGCTCTTATTACTTTATTGCTTTAGCTTGGTCAGGGCCGCACGGGGGGGGGGGAGGGGGTCTGTTTTTCCTTAAATGTTTTTCGGCTAATTTTGTAGTATATGCGCGCCTTCACAGTAATCAAATTTATTACCCATCCCAATAAACAACCCCTCCCTACCAAACTGATCTTAGTAAACTTGTTTTCTGTGGACTGCTGTCCGAAGGTCGCAGGTTCGAATCCCGATCCTATTTTGATGGAGAAAAATGGCAGAGGCCTGTGTACATAAGGTTTAGGTGCACGTTAAACGGTGGCTGAATTATCAGTAGCCATTCACTTCCCGCGTAATGGTATCGTGGTGTTGGCACGTAAAACCCCAACAATTGTTTATTACTTCATCGGATGTGTGTCTAATAGATTTATCCGGTGGACCTGAGTGTACAACATAGATGTTGCAATAGCTTGTTTTCCTTCTTTTATAGCGTAGTTGTCGTGTTGTTTACGCTTTGATTACGTAATGTTGATTTTGTGCCAGAGTGTCGGTCCCTCTTGGCGGACTGAGATGGGTTTTTCTCTCGGTACAGATGTCGAAATTACCTTTCCAACTCGAATTGTCTAGCTATTGTTTTTCTTTTTTTTTTGTAGATGAAATACGCTTCGCAGTCCACTCCCATTCGCTCTGCCTTTTTTTTTTTTTTGTCATGTGCTGACGCTATCGCCCTGTGTCTTACGCGCATATATATGACTTTTTCGTTAAACACGAAAAAAGTGAGGCGTAGCAGAGTATGTTAATGCGTGCCGTTTTTGCACTGGACAGTGGAAACGACGTGCTAACTCGCTCGTTTCGTCGAAATATGCTGACTTGCAACTTTTTGTCTCGAATGCATTTTAATTCGACTCTTTCGTATATATGAGGCCTATTCTCAGTCTTCTTGCGTCATTGCGTCGTCATACAAATATGTATCTGCATGTAATACATATGGCTACGACTCGTTCGTCTCCGCCTTTCGCAGTCTGATTTAGTGCTCTAATTTTTTTCCCGTTATTTTGAACAAATGTTCGTCCTGGAAAGCTAGATTTGCGAGTGCACGAAACAAACGCTTCACGTAAAGTTGAAATGAGCTCATCACGGGAGCAACAGAGCTGTCGTACATCGGTGATGTACAGTGGTGCGCACTATGAAATGGAACGCAGATATCGACCCTCAAGGTGTGCTAGTGGCAAACGCAGCTAGTAAGCGCAAAATAGTTCGTTACATTAAATAATCAGTGCGAGTTGAAATCACAACGTCACATTGGTGATCTCGCCTTTCGAGTAGTCTCTGCGTAAAACACGAAAGCGGCTTTCCTTAAATTTGTCCTCGTCTGTTCTCTCTAGAATGCGATATGTGCAGCGCAACAATGTTATCCGGTACACCAATGTGTAAAACGAAGCCGTCAAAAATATTTGTGCGTCTCACGAAATATAAACTTTATCTTAGCAGACGCGCGGATGCACAGTTCGGCTCTGTGTGCCAAGATTTCATCTTCGGCGCGGGTCGAAGCGAAAGGCAATGACCCAGCGAAAACATTGCGATAGCGCTGCACTGGTTTGGGGGGGTAACGGCTCCGAGCCAGACACGAAGCCTCCGAGACGAGTGCGGGGGACTCTGAGATCGCCATCCGCCCGCCGTTCTTCTCCGTCAATGTCGTTCGGCGACCTCCTGGCGCTCACCGGGAGTGCGTTGCCCGAGTTTTCTCTCCTCCGTTTTTTGCTTTCCTCCTCACCCGCAAACCGTCGCCTCGGCGTCTCTCCTTCCCCCCGCCTTCTCCCTACAAGAACGCTGGGCCTCGACCCCCCTTACCTCACCTCTTTCCTTCGCTCCCATGGTATCCTCTACGTTAGTTCGTTCGTCGAAAAAAGAACGGTGCTCTACAAGCGGAGAGAGACTGGCGGAGCAGAAGGGAACGCCGGTTGCCAGTGTTAACGGCGTTCGTAGTCCCTCCTCTATCTCCCCTTTTGTTTTCCAGCTCATTGGCTCCCCTTCTGTCATTTTCTAATCCTTTTTTTTTTACTCGCTCTTTTACTCACGCTCTCTTTCCGTTCATTGACAACATGGCAACTTGAAGGTTGAATGTTGGAGGTATCGCTTCGCTCTTTTAATGACTCCCGTTTATCGACGTTTTTTTAACTCCTTTTCCCTCCCCCCTTTCTATTGTAAAAAAAAAAGTATAGCAGAAACACCGTTGCGTGTACAAGCAGAATATGAGGGGGAGTTGGGTGTAAGGGCAGGTTTTTTTTTTTTGTCTACTCCTTTTTCTAGTCATCGTTTTTTTTTTTTTTGTTTTAATCGCTCATCGACTCCGATTTCGCGCTCGTTTCGCCGGTGATTTCGAAACTTTCCTTCGCTCCATCTTTTTTCGGGGGTGCCTGCTCTCTCATTTCGCCCATCTCCCGAGACGATGAAAGTTATCTCCTTATTATTGCTGCTTTTCTGTGTCCTTGTGTGTACTCGGTCAACATGTCGTGGTGGTCGTCTCGAGCGAGCTTGTTAGCAACACCGATCAGAGGAGGTTGATACGGTGGGCAGGGGGGCGATCAATGAGTAAAGGATGTATGTGGTTGAGGGCTGGATCTAAGGAGCGTAGAAAATAGAGGGAGAGAAAGGGAGCAGTGGTAAAAGGTATTGCGCCATGTCGTAATCTCTGCGAATCTGTTCGGCGTTTCAGGGCAACATGGCTAGTCGTCGGAGTATGTCCTCACGTACTCTTTTATTTTCGTTCGATTAGAGCACGTAGCCGTTTTTTGAGGTCGCGACCTCACCTTGCCGTTCTTGGCAACTTCCGCCCCTCGTTTCCTGCCCTTCTAGGGTGTTGGCATCGATGAAGTGATGTTTTGTTCTGGTTGGTGAAGCTGGTCTTACACGTCGCTCTCAGGTCTTCACCGGGAGTCACCCCCCTCTGATCTTGTGTCGCCCCCCCCCTCACCCTGCCATTCCTAATATGATCACAAAGTCTCCTTGGCACGGAGTCACATACCGATTACTATACGGGAAAGAATTCCGAATTGACCTTATCTGGAAAAGATTTTCTCATCTCGTAGCCGTGTTGTGAGGTCGTCGTTCTAAAAACGGTGAAGAGCAACCTTGTCACAGGTACATTTACGAATATACAATTATAATGAATTTTGAGTTCGAGATATCATTGCATATCTATCGTCTTTTTTTTATCAGTTACATCGGAGTTAATGTGATCCCTTGAGTTAACAATAAAACAAAAGATGGAAAGATAAATTTCCAGATTTGGTGGCAGAGCGTAGAGTTCTGAGAATCCGATGGACTGGTGCCAGGAGAACCAGTGGCATCCAACATAACATCAGGATTAATGAATTACTATTTAGGAAGCCGTCAAGAAGGTTATCGCCGTCGCCATGGATATCGCGGTGGCTGCATTGACCCCTAAGGGGGTGATAAACTCAACGAATGTTCAGAACATTTTGATGCGCTATAATGTGGCTAGCGTACTATATATATAAGGAGGACCTTAAAGACAAGACGCTAAATTATTATTTATTGGAACAAATTTCAAATGATATAGTGGTTGCTCCGCTACTTATAGAAATATGCACCCTACTTATAATAATGGAAGGACGGTGGCTCTCGCTAAAGCATCGATCCAGAGACTAGACAGAGCAGGGAAGGGTGCCTGCTTTTTCGAAGCTTCAGAGTACACTGCGACTGACCCAGGTATACTCTGCAGTCGTATAGGAAATCTCAAAGGAGACTGCACGAGCACTGCATCAATTAACACCAATAAAACCCGAGATCGTAGAACGTGTACAGCCATATAGCCATGCCACTGACCAGCGA